GACATCGATTTGTAAAAGATATATTAATATGTTTTATTTAATGGGTGAATATGATACCGCTAAATACAAATAGATTCATTGATCGATAATTTCTAACAAAACTGCGCCATGCTTTTGTTTTCTTTTTTCTAGGACGCTGCGATGATACTAAATACCAATTTAATGACAAGACATTTTAAAGGTGACCACTTCCATAAAATGATTTTTTTTAAGGGGGTGGGGTCGGGAGCGGGTACTTTGGATATCACAAATTCAGGTGATTATATAAACATTATGATACGACAGATAGAAAATCCACCTTCAACACATAAAGCTGCATAAAATACTGTATCGACCCGGCTTTTGATTACGGTATATATATTAACTGTAGCAGGAAATGTTATTTGTGGCATAACCTTTGAACGTCAGAATCCCCTTTGGTCGATGTCAACATCAAACAATGGACATATGTTGTTCTGCTAACGAACTCTGCGACTAAGATAAATATAGTACGTACATTGTCCAACTCTACTAGTACGTACGATTATTTCCACTGTAGCCATTATCATACCATAAAGAGAATGAGGAAACCGTTCTTATCCGGCAGATGAATAGAAATAAATATCAGCCGCTGGTTGACAGCTATTGATCAGATCAACCAAGTCATCCTATACGAAAAATAACCAAAACGTTATTCGCCTGAAATAGTTATCACTAAAGAAATGCCAAAATTACAGTATTTCTTTTTATCTGCATTAGGTCGTTGAAGAAATTGGCCGAAAAACTATAGTTATAGAAAGCGTAGATGAAAAACACACTGTTCCCGCTAAGGTTCGAACTAGCGACCCCAATTATCTTGCCACACACTAACGCCCGACCAAAGAGAAATTACCACAACCTGACACTTGTAAGTTGAGGTGTACTTCTACTTTGACACTGTAACAAAATATTCCGTCAAAACGCCAAGTTGTCAACATGTCCAAAGTATCACAAACTGGGATAAAACAATTTACCCGTGAGAGATCAGCTTTCAGAAAAGATAGGGTAGCATTATTATTACTGGATTACTTTCATCGTGTAACCGAACAAAGAAATTTCACTGACCTTTCGAGGTCATCATTTTAATTCACACGCCATTGTCATGAAGCCTCTAACTTTAGATGGCCATTCAGTGACGAATCCTTCTTGGATATTGTCGTTGTTAAACTATGAAAAATAACAAAATGTCTCGACTCTATATTGACCATCATATTTTACAAGAGAATTATGCTTTAGGTAATCAATGAATTTCCTATTTCCCAGCATATGTACAACTCGATTACCTGTATTTTAGAGGTGACATCTCTTTGTATGCATTCTTTAATCCGTAGGGTTTAGTAATGCTTCGCATCGTTGAACTGAAATCTGCTCGAGTATTCTTAACAAAATGAGAAATGGATGAACGGACACTACCACAATTCAAAGCATAAAAGCAGGTTATGTAGGGAATACATCGAAACAGCTTTAGTCGTAATATCTTCCTGTCTTATAACGTGATTACTGTCAAATCTCCATTGAATCGATGTAAGACTTGCTGCTGCATTTTATTTCTGTATATCGCATGGTAAATCAGCGATGTAATTGAAAGGCGATTGTCCGGTCGTACTAATGCACATTTCAGAGGCACTTAACGAAGGGACTTGGTTGTTGTCAATGACAAACGCCAAAAGTGCATATCAGCAGCATCCAATTATAGCATTCTATAAGGCTGATTGGAGCCAATTGATCGGGCTGAGAACACTCTTGCTTGCTTTATCACATGATCGTTCAGCTCGTTATGTCGAGGGTGGTACGCCCCGTCAATCTGACAAGTCCCTCACCTCAATAAACAACGTGTCACACACGTATCACCAAAACGCCAATGTACTTTACAACACTCATTTAATATGTTCTGTTCAATTTCGACCGAATCTAGATAACGGGCGAATCACGTGTACGATAATGACAGAGATGTATTGAGAGTGTTTCACTTTCATACTAGCCATTTGACAGGTGCTAGATTATGAATAATAGTGCATAATACGCTAAACTTCTTTTCATTTTTCCCCAAAAAGATTTTGCGAAATTTTGCAGTGCCGATAAAAGATATTGCCTGCGACATCAACCAACAACGAGTAAACCATAAGAATATACTTGGTTATTTATGTATGGAAGACGATTTAGTAATGTTGAAAATTATTTTCTTTTTACTTGGAATTGAATTGCAATAGGGATGGATTAGCCGTTATTAGTTAAATGTGACTCGCTAGAATTGAAGTATAAGACCACCAGTAGAAGATTTGAGTGTGAAAGTCAATACAGCTAGACGACCGAGAAAACAACCTTTGGGGCAGCTGATTAAGGAAGTTGTCTAGATACGTCGCAGCGGGCTAACTAGTGCTTAAGGTAGACGAGAAGAGTCACAGATAAGCAAAGCATGGCCGAAATGACTATAGTACATCATTACCATCTTGTGTACTGTTTGGTCTATGATATGTTTACCATCTCGTCACGCTATTATACGTTCCTGAATTTACCAACTAAAGAAAATTTTCCGAAATGATGTGACTTGCTGGCAAATAATTGCTGGCAATTGATATTTATCGAAGATTTACTTGCTGTTTTGAAACATTCTACATGTACCTATTTTATGTTTGCTGATGACAGCAAATTTTGCAAAAAATAACATCTATATATGGATGTAAGCAATTACATTACGACACCAATCAACAGAGTGTTTGACTGGTGTAAATATGGCGTATGAAAGTCAATATTGACAAATGTTGTACCAAAAGATTTTCTTTGAAACGTTCTCCTTTTATCTACTCTGACATGATGGGAGGACATAATTTATCGAGAGTCACTCATGTTAAAGACCTAGGAGTCTGGAACTCTGACAATTTTAACTTTTCACACCATGTCAAAAATGTTGTATCGAAAGGAATGCAAATGCTTGGATTTTCAAAACGTTTTTGTTAATATTTCAAAAATGTTTCTGTGATAAGGTCATTATGAATCAGTTTAGTTAGAAATCTGTTGGAATACTGCAGTGAGATCTGGTCATTTTTTAAAAATTGATGTGTTTTAAGGCGAACTTTGATAACCAGCCATTCTTATGCTGATTTATGTAAACAAATTAGACGACAATATATGGATGTTAGTTTCCTTTTTAAATGTATTCATGGACTTTTTAATTGTTCGTTTTTAGTAGAAAAGATAGGTATTTTAGTCCCTAGATGTTTACGATCCTGTGCAGTTTCATAATTTGTTTGTTCGCCTAGTAGGTTCAATCTTAGAAAGTTTAGTACTATTAACCGTGCCGTGAATTCTTTTAACAGAAACGCCTGTAAACTAGGTAGTATGTTTAATTGTACTTTGCCATATTTTAAATCTCGCCACAAGACAATACGTTTTAGATGATCATTACGTTACATGTCTTTCTCTTACTAATGCTCCACCCATGTTACAGACTATGTATATATATGTATCTGTGATATTTGATATACCTTTGTTTCCATTGTTATCAATGCTGTAATTGGAACCTCGGGTCTGTTGAGTTGACATGTGACCCTGATAAAATACTAACCGCAATATACCACTCGGCTCGATTGGTTGAGCGTCAGACTAGTAAGCCACTAACGCAATAGAAATGGCTAATCTTGCGGATGAGGAAATCGTTTAAATCTTGGTCAAATTGAGACATTACGAATTTGAAGACGTCATCCATGCAGGATATAAGGAGTATTTTTTCTGTTCACCTGAATCGTCGCATTGCTTATCAACAATGAGATGGGTAATATGCATCCGAAACTAAATCATTTGACCACGTCTGTTCACTAAGGAAGCTGTTATGTTAACTTGTCATATCTATTGATGTGGTCAGGTCGGTCATTCTAATCAGCAAACTTGCGGAATTCCCCTTCCCAAAACGTCACTCGTCGATCAACTTACGAGTTATCTCCCTTCTGACACAGATTATGTGTCGTTGAATTATCCGAAAGTCATGCGGTAAAAGATGCAAGAAGGTATCACATTGTAAAATCTATTATCGTTATGAAAATATGACTTGGTCTTCTTGCATATGATGTATTTGTAATACTTTTTGACGCGCGTAATGACATCGAATATTGAATGTATCCGGAACTCTCTCTCTCTCTCTCTCTCTCTCTCTCTCTCTCTCTCTCTCTCTCTCTCTCTCTCTCTCTCTCTCTCTCTCTCTCTCTTATGAAAATATGACTTGGTCTTCTTGCATATGATGATAATACTTACTGGAATATTGAATGTTCCTCTCTCTCTCTCTCTCTCTCTCTCTCTCTCTCTCTCTCTCTCTCTCTCTCTCTCTCTCTCTCTCTCTCTCTCTCTCTCTCTCTGGTAAAATAAAAACAATTACAAGTGACAAATATGAACAAAATAAACATTTACATCGAGACTCCTGTTCTCAAACGGGGGAAATGTATACGACATCAGAACCAATAAGCAAACTAACGGGCGTCAAACACGTCCAGTTTCATATTAATCGCACCATGAAATAGAACATTTCTAAACGAGATTACTATGACGACCAAAAAATCCCCTATAATCTTCATCAACCTGCAAACTATAACATTCGTTTGATTTTGATTTGATAGATTTTGTTAATTCTATGTACGTCATGTGTTCTCCTATCTCATGATTTTACATGTGAGGTTCGACCTATAGCCACATGATTATATATATGAAAATAAACCGGGTCCATTACTTTTACGCTTCCGCTGCTTATACATACTGCGTCCCAATTTAATGATTGTTTTAAATGTTTCTATGTGAAAAATCTGATATGCACGAATTATAGCTTGTTTAATTGTCTCTATGAGCTTATCCACGTGCTTTTATTGATTAAAATTCTCGTGTCGTAGGACTGCACATCAAAATTTCGCGCCATAATATTAGCCTTTTGTCATGTGATTTACAATCTAACTGTGAAGCGTCTTGTTGATATCGATCTGATCATGTGAGCGAACCCCAGTTTGTAAACAAAGTTAGGTAATGTTAGGTAGATAAGTCTGTTGAATTATTTCATTCGCCTATTCAATCGCTTCCATAAGTCGTAACTCGAAGGACTGGTTTTAGTAAACGCAAGAAGCATAACAGCTATCGGACGTTGAAAAAGCAAACAAACTAATTTCTTCTTTCAGAGGTATGTCCGCAGCTCTTTATAATCATGAGATTGTCTCGTTTCTGGTTGTGTTTATCTGCATTGGACTGACATGTAGCACCAAATACACGCCAGACTGGGCATCTCTGGACTCCAGGCCTCTTCCAACTTGGTATGACGAGTCGAAGATCGGGATCTTCATTCATTGGGGAGTGTTTTCCGTTCCCAGCTTTACCAATGAATGGTTCTGGTACGACTGGAAGACTTTCAAGAATCCATCTGTTATAAATTTTATGAAGAACAACTACCCACCAGATTTCACGTATGCTGATTTTGCACCAAAATTTACAGCTGAATTTTACAATCCTGAACAATGGGCTGACATTTTCAGTGCATCCGGTGCTAAGTAAGTTACACTTCCTATATAGATATACATACATATGTAGCAAGAGGAGTAATGAAAATACATTTTGTACCCTGACATCACTGGGGTTCGAACTAACGACCCATCGGTTTTTAATCGAACACTCTACAACTCGACTAAAAGGAAACTCCCACTAGCTATATGTATGTCAGGGTAATGAAAACTGTCCTCTCGATGATCTATCTGGTCCTGCAAGAATTCATACAGGCAAACTCTCACTATCACCCGGTCACTTGTATAAATGGATATTCTTGCAATTCCAGACCACACTTTGGTATCAGACTGCTTGTGTACATTTGATTTCTCAATCTATTGCAACACTTGTCTGTCTGTCGTTTTGAAGACAACCATCACTGTCACTTACTATTTATACATAATGACTACTCAAGCTTCTATGCTGATTTATGTACAGATGTCCACTTTAAAAATTAGAATGAGACATATGGCATAAGAAACCTGTAAAGTCAGATACAAAACCATACCCTCTTACCTTCACAACATTTTAGACATTATGCTGTTGAATTGTTACTATATCGATCACTTTCAATGGAAATGTAGATTGAACATAAACAATAAATAGTTTCAATACTCCAGTTTTCCATGTTCTTCACTTTAAATGTATATATTTTACAAATGAACATGGGCAGGGGATCTTGATGACTGTGTCCTTGTTTACTTTTACAATTTGGATCAGAGTGGGGGAATGCTGAAAAAGGGAATGTAGCCAAAAGTGTTCTTGTCACTTAATCCACTCCTTGTGTTTCCAAAGAAACAACCTATCAAATGGTTATGAAAGTTTACATTTCTATAAATAAATTGAAATGGCCTGTAGACCACATTGTGATGTCGTTCAAGATGGCTGCCATTTTCTGGCTATTGATTTACTAAAGAATCTGACACTGTCTACGCCAGAATGGAAAATAGGCTAATAAGATGTTGAAATTGAGAACATTGAATTGTCAGATTTGGAGCAATTTGGTTTATACATATTGAAGGCATATTGTGAAACAGCTGTTACATTGGCTTCCTGATTGGACAAAATGGAAATGGCTTCTGTATAATAGCTTCTTATTGGAGGAAATGAAAAAAAAAAGAATACCTGTGTGTGTATTTTGACACTTTATTTGAATGCAAACATCTTTTTTCTGACCTACTAAAGACTTACCAAGAGTGGGCAACATAATTTTCATCACTTCTTTCTATGAAATGCAAATTTGATGACTTTGACTCCTCAACAAAATCCTTTGAAAATGCCTTGAAGTGTGACACTAGATATTTTCTCTTAATTTGTTAACACATTAATGATAAATTTTTAGATAAATTTTTTCAAAGCAATACCATTCCATTCAGACTCAATATTTTAATCCTTATAATAAACCTTGGGTCAATATAATGTAGTGAGTATGCTTATTTGTATGGATTCCTCCATGTTTACTGCTGACATTTCTCTGTTAATGGTTTACAGGTATGTTGTTTTGGTCACCAAGCACCATGAAGGTTTTACCAACTGGCCATCCAAGGTCTCATGGAACTGGAACGCCATGGATGTTGGACCTAAACGGGATCTTGTCGGTAAGATAAAATAGTTAATCATTAGGTGAGGTGATAGGAAACTTTTTTGTTTCCATAACACTTGATGTTTTTCAGCTTTACAAATACTGAAAAGTATTCTGTTTTGGAATCCATGCTAGTTAAGATGAGACATTTGCTCTGGCATCTTTGGGTAGTAAGACTTTTATTTATGCACACACAATTTCACCAGATGCATGTTGTAAGGCCCTTTGCATACCATATACAGCAATTAGGGTAAAGTGTCTTTCGTAATGATCATGACTCATCCACAGCAGCACAAAACTGCCATTGGGGGGATCTTTAAACAAAAGACCTCGGATCTTCACCTGAGCTTGCCAATGCTCTATCAAACTCTCTCTTTAAAATACACAAAATACTATGATACAGGTAATGCACAAGCAGTCATAGGTAACTTTTCAATGTGCAAGTTGTTATTTATAAACATTATATGGTCTACATAACAGTGTGTTCCTAAAAAATTATGAATTTGTGACTAGGAAAGTTTGGTGTCTTTTTTTTGTATAGAATTTATCATTTGATTTTTTTGTTGTTAAATTCCATTACATGTGTATCTTGTGTTGTTGTGTAGGTGAATTGGCTACAGCAGTCAGGAAGAAGCCGGGCATGCACTTTGGGACATATCATTCCCTTTTTGAGTTCTATCACCCGCTATACCTCCAGGATAAAGCCAATGGGTACAGGACACAGGACTTTGTACGGGTAGGCGAGGAGAATGATTAAAAGAAATTAGATACATGTAGTTAAAACACTTATTTCATTTTATACGAATGTCTGCATGATCACCTTAATCACATACACTTTGAAAATTGTTCACTTACAAGTGCTTTCAAAATGTAAAACAATACATGCACAAAATGGTTTTAAAATTGGTAAAACTTTTTTATTGATGTGATATTTAGGTCATCTGTCCTGAAGGATCATAATGACCTATAGCCTTTGTGCTTTGTCCATCGCCATGCGTAAACTTTTGACATTTTAAACTTCTTCTAAAGTTCCATCTGTGGGATTGAGCTCAGACTTACATGAAGTGATCCTGAGACGGTCCTGACCAAGTGTTGTAATTTTTCAGATAGGTTTGAAATCCATGATGGCTGCCATCTTGAAAAACATATTTTAAACTTCTTCTCCCGTTCCACTGGAAAATTGTTGTCAAAACTTTGAAACATGATTGCACAATCATGGTTTTCCTGTGCAAACACCCATTACCCATTTCAAACTTTTCAAGTTTCACCAGTTGGAGTGAGCTCCATCTTTACTGTCAGAAAATAGGTAACACTTGTTACAGTTACCTACTTCTCACCAAAACTACCATCTGCATCATGGAAAACAGTTTCTTAGTAAGGTTTCATGCAAAGTAGAAAAGATAACCCTTCTCCCTGCTGAAAGATGTTTGGTAGTCAGATGACCATTGAGGCCTGTGGGCCTCATGTTTAACATATGTTTCACAAACCATACAGTAAACTTGGTTTTAAAGTCTGATTTTTCATACTTCAAAGAGCTTATACAATTATACAAGAGATTATACAAAGAGAGTGTCCATGGATGATGGGAGCTGGGAGGTCACTGACAGTGCTTTTATAGTGCCATTGTAGTGAAGTATTGGCCTGGAAATAGCAGCAGCATTTTATAAAGTAAACCACTAAACCAGTAGTCTTCCTGTCTTTAGAAGTTGTTAAAACTGATGCCTGAAGTGTGTTATCAAGTGAGGCAAATGCAAGAAAAATATGATACATAGTGGAGTAGGTAATGGCAGGTCCACTATTTCTTATACACCTGTCATTTTATGGGGGAGGGATTGGTCCTTTCCATATCATTGCCACATCTTCAGATTTCAACAGATACTTACATTCATTGGAGCTGGAATATTAATGTCCTACAGACATTTACTAGTTTATTTTATTTTAGATTTATTATTCATAGTTCTATAGGATTTAAAGTTTATCTATGCACTAACTAATCTTGATGCTAGAATCCTCTTTTTCATTTTCTTTATTGTAAGATATATATGATATGAGCTAAACAAGTATTCCACTAAAATTAATTAGCTAATCAACAATGACTTGGTTAACATTTTAAGGACAAGACCATGCCAGAGCTGTATGAGCTGGTCAATGAGTACAAACCAGAGGTGATATGGTCAGATGGGGATTGGGAGGCACCAGACACCTACTGGAATGCCACAGAATTCCTTGCCTGGCTCTACAATGAAAGGTCAGTGTTATCTGGTCACAAGTCAATTAGATTGATGAAAATTGCAGTTTTTGCATATTGTAAAAATACATTAAATTGAAAAAAACATTGTTTTACTTTTTTGATGTAGTTATATACTGCATATTAAGTACATTTACAAGACTAATGTAGACTAACATGACAATTGCTCAAATACTTTAAATATTTTGGGTTCTCATTACACAAAAGAGCTGATTTGTGTTGCAGCAAATGTAGATTTGACGTATTTTACATAATACTGCACAAACCAAAATACTGGTCCACATTTTCTTTCCATAGAAATGCATACTGATCCATATATTTTGGGGTCGATCAATGCAAAAAATTACTCTTTTTATCCTGTGAATTTTCACAATATCATCCATCTAAAAAAAAGTTATTTGTATTTGTTGTGTAGAAAGGGATTGAATATTATCATATAGAATGTCACCACATCAATAAATTTCATAATTTTTATGTTTTTATGTGATGTGGGAGCATATACTAACAGCTGTTGTTTTGTACACAGTAATACTACAGACATTGTGTTGTACACATTCATACTACAGACATTGTGTTGTACACATTCATCCACAGACATTTTGTTGTACACATTCATACTACAGCCATTGTGTTGTACACATTCATACTACAGCCATTGTCTTGTACACATTCATACTACAACCATTGTGTTGTACACATTCATACTACAGCCATTGTGTTGTACACATTCATACTACAGACATTGTGTTGTACACATTCATACTACAGCCATTGTGTTGTACACAGTAATACTACAGACATTGTGTTGTACACATTCATACTACAGACATTGTGTTGTACACATTCATCCAGACATTTTGTTGTACACATTCATACTACAGACATTGTGTTGTACACATTCATACTACAGCCATTGTGTTGTACACATTCGTACTACAGACATTGTGTTGTACACATTCGTACTACAGACATTGTGTTGTACACATTCGTACTACAGCCATTGTGTTGTACACATTCATACTACGCCATTGTGTTGTACACATGTATATATTTTTGTATACATGTTATTACTGCCATTGTTTGTATACAACAACTTGTATGCAAGTATACTGCTGCTGCTTTGTTTTGTACATAGCCATTATCTTAACATATATATGCTAATACCATTTTTATAGAATATACTGTAGTTGTTGGCAAGTTATTTTTTTGTTTTATATTCTGTATGCCTTTATCCATTTGTCTCCCTCAGCCCTGTGAAGGACACAGTATTGGTAAATGATCGATGGGGCAGTAATACTAGATGTCTTCATGGTGGATTTTGGAATTGCCATGACAAGTACAACCCAGGTAACAGCTTTTAGTAAATTATAACTATAATCTTACACTCCACTCACCAAAAATACGTTCTCTGTTTTGCTGAATTTGATCAAGGCATTTGAAACTAAACAATAGTCCTTAACTAGTTACCTGGAAGAAATAATTTCCCTTTGGATCTTTACAAACTCTAATACCTATTAGACATAGATAATATATGTTATACTATGCTTCAAGCATTGTGAAAATCGATATATCACCATTTTCAGTTAACAGCTAACACATGTAATATATCTATTTGAGAGTAGAGGTAATCAAATCAAATATTAGTTTTTGAAACTGTTGAGATTTGTAAAATTCCAGGTTATCTGAAAGATGTTGGTCTATATTGTAGACTCTGATGTACCATTTCAATTTTTGTGATAATAGGCCCAGTTAAGACTTTCAGCATTTGTCTTTTACCTTTTGATTTGTTTAATGTTATTTCTTTTATGGAAACGCTGTGTGTTTTACCGGTTGATGGCCCTAATGACCTTTCATGTGTTGACGGGCCGTTAAGAATTTCATAATAATAATAATCTTCAGTGAAAAATTGCAGGAATTTGTTACTACAAATTTGAAATATTTTCTCCTCAGGAGTTGTCCAAAAGCATAAATGGGAGAATGCAATGACACTAGACAAAGGATCTTGGGGATATAGACGGACAAGTAAACTAAGTGATTACCTGACCATGGATGAACTGATAAAAACCATTGCTTCAACTGTAAGGTAAAGGTTAGGATGGCAGTGGAGTAATGTTACAGATGGCATTATGAGTTACATACTTTATGCAGTGTTTTTAATGTAAATATATGAAAACTTGCAAAGATATTCTCAAAACCAGTTCAGTTATAATGTTGAATAAGATACAAAATTGTAAGTTATGGAAAGTTTGTAGAAGGTTTTATTCTACTGGATAGACTTATTTTGATTATTTGTGAACACATTGAAAACTAGTTAGCACTGATGCAGGAATGACCTTTTAGAAAACATTGATCACTGGATTTGCATTAAAGTAATATTTTAATCCCAATGCCTGATGTCCACTTAAATAGAAATATCATGGTGGAAAATTGTCAGTTGCACAAATTTTCTTTGGTCTGCCAAGCTGAAAGTTGACCTTGGATTTCTAATGCATTTATATTGTACAGTGTTTGATATACATGTATGTATTATATATTATCCTTCCTTGACTCTCTAGTTATACCCCCACTTTGAAAAAGGAGGTATATATGGTATTAAAGGCAGTAATCAACAGAAATGTGTTCTTTCTGTGCCTCATCTCTACATTGTATGAAAATGGTGCTAAATTGTTGTAGCAGCAAAATAATCTGCAATAAAAAGTGGAGGAACCATTGGTGAAATAGGTTAGCTTTCTCAAAACTAATCAGTTGTGTTAAAGTTTCAATCTCTTTTTTCCTCAAATGCTTGCTTAGGCTAATTAAAACAACGTATATACATGTACCAGCATAAAAATTGTACCATTACAATTTAATCTTTTTCATTTGTAGTTGTGGTGGTAATGTCCTGATCAACATTGGCCCTACCCATGATGGACGTGTGATTCCTATTTTTGAGGAACGACTTAGACAGATGGGAAAGTGGCTGGATGTTAATGGTGAGGCTATCTACTCTTCGATACCCTGGACTCACCAGAATGACACCATCACACCAGATGTCTGGTAAGTGCTGAATCAATTGGGCTCCTCTTTAGAAAATTATTTGGGAAGCTTTACAAAGGAAAACTACTGTAATGCAGTGATAAGGTGGAGAACAATAAGTGGAAGATAAACAGACCTGCTTTCAAATGTTCATTACAGAACTACTAATTTGTGTTCTCAGTGGTATTCTTTGCAATACTTTGATTTGAAATATAGGATATAGGATTGTTTGTACCTGGAAAACTGTTTATTGTTTGTAAACCATTTCTAATTTGATCAGTTATATATTAAAATATGTCTAATGATGAAATCAAATACTCAAAGGATGTTTTGGTTTTTTTTTGCATTTTTTCATTAGGTACACTTCAAAGAAGACTGTGAATGGGACAGATGTGTATGCTATAGTACTGGACTGGCCTAGAAACAACAAGCTGATCTTGGGATCACCTAATGTGAGCTCTGAAACAGTCGTGTCTCTGATGGGGTACCCGAACAAGCTCAATTGGGTACCAGGAACTCAATCTGGAGTTGAAATACAGATCCCTGACATTCCATACAATAAGATGCCATGTCAGTGGGCATGGGTCTTTAAATTCTCAAACCTTAGCTAAGATTAAAGTGTTAAGAATACCTACTTACATATTTTCAACATGTACCATCTTGTTTTAGTATTTACTGAAAACAAATTTCAGAGTTGCTTTCATTTGATTTAGACCCTCTTTTTTACAGGCAAGTTCAAGTGAACTGGGGATGAGATAGGGGTTTTCCCAACCATTATCTAACTTATCAGATGCATGAGTATTTTCCTCTCTTCCCAGTGCCTTGCTCTCCTTAACTCCACTCTTGGGATTATTGGTGTTACATCATTGTTATTGAAGGGGAATCCCTCTATCTCAACCACACACAAAAAAGCCTTACATTGTAAATGTATAAAACCTGTCAAGGGTAAAAGAAATTTCATTGATCATTCCTATATTGACACCTGAATTCACTACCCATCATGTCAGACTTATTTTAATGGTTCTGTTCAATCTATGAGCTGTATGTCTGGGAGATATAAAGCTTGTGTACATTCCTTCATGCATGTGTGTGAGAATGAAGTAGTTTTTGCCAATTCTCTAGTACCTGGTAACCTTTGTGTAAGTGAGTATTCCAGTAATCTCAATAAACTTGTGTATTGTGGAATGTCAGAATTAGAGGGGGTGAAAGATGGTGATTCAATAATCTTTATACATAAAATGCACATACGACATTGATTCTGTAAGCATTCTTATGTTAGTTATGTTTTAGTAGATAGATCTGTGTATTGTATAATTATTCTGTAGTCTTCTTTTTTTGTGTAATGTACATTGTTTATTATATGCCAGATATAGCTTGTTCAGTATTTTTAAAAATTCATTTACAAATATCTGAAAAATATTGTTAAATAAATTATAAGTATTTATTCATGCATTTTAACAAAAGTCATACTGTTAGCTGATAATCATTATATAAAGACCTTGCTGTAATAGGACCTGAAGAAAGACAATCTTTTATACATTTGATGTGTTTTATGTGGAAATTGATATATTTTCAAAGATTTTTATCTTTCGTTTATAGACACCTTGTTTTATCTTCTGTTTATCATGTACATTTAATTCTACTTATACCCTTTTTAATTATTGTTGGCTTGAATTCTTTTTGGGGACAATTACATAATGTGATATGATCTAGCAGTTTTAATGTGTACGAAAGTCGACCCATTGAGGTTCTTGTTGATATGTATATTGTTTTGAAATAACAGCTGAACTTCACTGGTCACTCTTTAAGTGTCCTCTGGAGTAAATTTGCTCTTTTTAGTTTATGTAGGTATATTTCAGTAGTCCTACTGAATAAGTGGTTTAGAGCAGTAGAAAATGCAATATTTCTTCAGAAGCGCCATTATAGCCATACATTGACCATGTTTACTCCATGAGCGCAACTTTCAGACATTTCAGACTTTCATGAAATATCAGTAGATGTTTACTTTCTATACTTGTACATGATTTGAATATCCTAATAAAACTCATTCACTGCAGGAATTGTAAGGGTTTTTTTCCCATTTCAACAATTACTGTAGTACATTAAGTACACTTTTATTTTTACATGATTTCTTTGTACAGTGTATTAGGCTTGGGCTATACAGAAAATTTATCAGAAAGGCAACAACAGATCCCAGAGGGATCTTGGTGCCTACCATTTTTTTATCTTTATATGCTCTTTGAAAGTTGGATCTTTTCCCTTCTTTTCTCTGTTTTTGCTCTTAATGATTAGACATTTGAAAATTCCTTGGCAGAAATAAATGATAATCTTTATCTGCCAAATCCATAATAGCCACCTGGAACCCATTTTGTTTCTCGTGATCAGTTCCAAAAGCAAACGAGCACAATGAGAGACCAATGGGAACATAATTGTGAAATTTGAGAGATATCTATTCAGTACTTCTTCAGAAATACCAATAACAATCTTTACTAAGCAAAATCCAAGATGGCTGTCTGGAGGCAAATTTTATTTTTTTCTGACCAGTCCAAAACTGAAATAGGAATAACTAGGGACCTAAAGAACCCTATACTGAATACATGAAATTTGAGAAAGATCCATCCAGTACTCCTCAAGAAATAGCGATAACAAACTTTCAAAGTCAAATTCCAAGATGGCTGTCTTTCGGTCATTTTGCTTTTCTGATCTGTCCCAAAATCAAACAGCCACAACTAGGGACCATAGGGAACCTGCATATGAAATTTAAGAAAAATCCATGTAGTACTTCTCAAGAAATAGCGATAACAAAAATCGTTTTTGGACGGACAGACAGACCACGGATGCAGAGCGATTTGAATAGATCAGATGGTGAACTAAAAATCGGAGAAAAGACAAACATAACTTAATATCATAATATTGCTAGAGTTTGACTTCCCTTTTGGGCATGTGATATTAACGGACCATACTGTTCTATTACAAAGTAAACAAACAATATACACCATAACATTTCACCTTTAATCCAGCAAGTTATTTAACATCGTGTAATACATAAGGTAAAACAGTTAACAAAAAAAAAAAGAATAATTCCTTGTCCTTGCAAGTAGAATTATTATTCATTAATAAATGAAAAAGATTCTTGTTTCAGAATGACAATGAAATATGTATCACTAACTCACTACCAATACCAATGAAATGTGAATTAACAACTTCAATATTGAATAATAACTTCACATCTGAAAGAATTTTTATCACTGCCAGCAATCTCAGAACTAAGGATTTACCTACACTGATAATCAACCAAACAAAAGATATTACTGTAAAAGACAAACTGATCCATAAAAATGAACAGCCCATTTACTTCATGAGTAATATTATCTTCTTTGTAATTACAATATCAGATGAAATTATTATTTGAGGACATTTACTGTCAATCCATGTCACTTAAGTGTGGTGTGAGTATAGAGGTATGATACAACATATAAACTCCTATGCTGTATGCCTTTACCAAAACTCTACTTGTTATTTAAGTGAAGTAGGGATGATATAGATATACGGTAGAAATATACAAAACAGACCAGAAAGACTGCCTATTACTGAGGAGTGAGATAACACCAGGTAACTTATTTTATATACCAAACCACTGGTACAGACAAAATAAAATTTATACAGGTATGTTTTTTTACAGTTCCAATGACAGTAAAACTGAACATGAAAATGTTATTCTGACAATCATAAGTCATGTTTTAAGTTTTTTAACAATATTTGTTTTTCTATTTTCTGTTAAGGTTTTTCTTTTTGTTGTAGTGGAATCATCTTCGATACCTGCTAGCAATTCTGGACACAAGTTTGTAGCTATTTGGTATGTCCACAATGTCAGCTCAACCTTGTGGGGGGTCCATTTAGTACCTTCTGAAAATCAAAATAAACCACCATGTAAAAATAATACCCGTGGAAAGGGGAAATATTTTAGATTGCTTAAGAAAGTCGACAATTTATCCCCCAAAATTATGAAAAACCTTGTAACAAAATCATCATCAAAATATTGAAAACAGTTCCTCAATGTATAATTTTAATTTATAAATACCTTGCTGATCTTTGTTGAGTGTTTTTGTAATTGATTTCACATGGTCCATGAACTGGTTATAAAATGGCAAAGTGTACTGTAAGGGAGCTAACCCTGGTATAGCCAACATACTCTCATCAGCCATGAAGGCTGCCATGTCCGGAGCACCTACTGCCAAAACAGCTGTAATTAAAGAGTTTGAAATGCAAATCATTTTATGTAAAGTTTTGTTTGATCTCTTAGTTCCAGTAAAATAGGTAACACTCTTTTAAGAAACAGCAAGGTCAGCATCACCTTGTTTACATGGGACACCCTCTGATAAGTGAATTCCTGGAAGAAACTTCTCAAATTTCTCTTTCACAAGTTTAGAGCTCTTCATACAGGAATGACTTTCAATACATATATACCTACCAGAAGCTGTGGCTGGTCCTATTGCCTTTAATACTGTGAGTGCTTTTATTGCATTAGGAAGGTTTGGCAGTTCTTTAAAAGCCTTCCGACTTGCAGCTTCAACTTCTGCCTCACTGTTACTCTGGACCATTTGTTCAAGACGAGGTCGGAATTTTCCTCTCTGAAATCGCATGTGATATTAATATAATACATCAATTACAGAGTCATGATTCTTTTTCCGCAAAACAGAGGCCTTCATGTCCTAACCGAGTCTACCAGACCAAGAGATTCCCCCATTTCCCTCCTCCCCCACACCTCTAGTAAACATTGGGAGTCAGCAGAAGTAAAACGCTCCTACTGGTACAGACTGACATTTACTTAAAGACACAGATTAAAAACAAAGTACTGAATCATCTTTTCTTCTAACATTTTTTTTTTTATTTTGCAAAGACTTATGTACATAAATACAATAAAATTGTGTTCGATGTAACTCTGCATTGGATAGACTGATGTATATATGCACACATAGAAAATTTATCAGGCATTTGGGATATCATCAAATACACACCGTCAGTTTCCATTTCATAAGTTTACAAAGCTCCTCATGAGTTACATATCTATCTTTTCTTCCTTTGATGGTCGCTGAGAGTTCTTCTTGATACCTTATGAAGACAAAATAAGTTATTACATAATGCTCATACAAAATGTAATATTTAGCCCTATAAAGAACGTTCATGTAACTTTTGATCTCTATTGTACCACTTAATCAACTTATGAATATTGGCTAAGCTGGCCGGGTATCCCTGATGACCAGATCTAGAGCAGATTTATCATTTATTTTTTATAATGAAATCACGAAATAGTTATGATAATTGTTTATAATTAGAAAAAAAAATTAACAGTGTCTTTTAATCATGTCAGCTACATCTACATTGATAAATCCACAGTATGGAAATTCTTTAATAATTTTAGTGAAATAACTTGTTAGGGAGACATTTCACAAGTGTAGGGAAATAGATAGTGATGATCAAAGCTAAAATGAGGAAATTGTTTGGAACAAGGATTGATAGCTTCAGACAGCTTACATAGCTACTGGCCATACTGTTTGATAAAATAAATGTATTTTATAAATTGAGTAAAAGCAAATTATAGCCCCATCTCACAATCTCCTGTTTAAGTAGTGGAACTATTTACCATAACGATACCCCAAAACACTCGAACATCACCCTAAACTCTCAAATAGTACTCTCAATCACTTAAAGCCTACCAAAAGAAAATTATCACATCACATTGAAACAAAGAAACAATACTAATTGCTGTGATCCCTTGATGATGGAGGAGAGATTACCTTACAGTTTGTCTCTGACATGAATTTTAAAGTTTGGTGAACTATGCAAATTTTTCATTTTTATTTGAATCATTTCACTAGAAGTCTGGAACTACATACATGTATGAGGGTATCATATAAAAAGGATCTTGTATTGAAATTATCTATATACTGAAAGGATAAAGAAACGCAGGGTAATATTTCTTCCAATATTTTGAAGACGCGTTCTCCAAATAAAGTGAAACTTCGTGGATTGAGTAATTAGGTCATATTACATCTTGTCATGTATCGAAAATTTAGTCACGGTACAGTGCTCAGCTCTAGTAAATGGAGGAAGGAAAAAACAAGAATCTCGTGCACCGTGTTGTTCTGGTCTCATGCAGCGTTGGTCAAGTCACTCTTCGTTAGTCTTTATACAGACCAACTGCTTCCCTAAAATTAATTGAGAATTTGATTCGTTTTAAGAATGGCACAACTCACAGAAGTTAAGAGGGGTCAGGCCATACAGATGCTGATGCAAGGACAGCTGCAAAATCAGGTTGCTAGGCACTTTGGTGTTAATGTTTCCACCATAGAACGTCTTGTAAGACGTCTTCGGGAAACTGGGCGATTGGCCGATTGACCTAGGTCAGGATGTCCGTGCATAACGTCACGACGTCAGGATCGCTATATCGTCGTCTCTCATGTGCGTAATCGGCGCATTACTGCCGTTGAGAGTGCACTTAATGTCGTGGAAATCATGGGCGTCTATAAGTTTAAAAACTGTAAGGAATCGATTACGAGAAGTTGGTGTAAGAGCACGTCGCCCCTACGTAGGTCAACACCTTACCCCTGCTCGACGTCAGTGTCGTATAGCCTGGGTCGCTGCACATGCTCCACGATGGTTTCCACTGAGGCAGTGGAGACAAGTTTTCTTCACGGAAGAGTCTCGATTCTGTCTTTATTGATCTGATGGTCGTCAACGTGTCTACCGACGTCGTGGCAAACGTTTTACGGACGCTTGCGTTGTAGAGAGGGATAGGTTTGGGGGCGGTTCAGTATTGGTGTGGGGAGGAATCTCACACGGGTTAAAATCACAATTGGTTGTTATTGATGGCAATTTAACAGCAGCTAAGTATAGAGATGAGATCCTCTGACCCCATGTTATCCCTTTCTTACAGCAGCATAATCTAACCATCCAGCAGGATAATGCTAGGCCCTACGTAGCAAGGATTTGCCAAGTCCTTCTGGCCAACAACAACATTCAGCCACTAGATTGACCGCCATATAGTCCTGATTTGTCCCCGATCGAGCATGTTTGGGACCAGTTGGATAGACAGGTTCGAAAGCGCCAGCCACCCCCTGCTACTCGAGAGCAGTTGACCAGAGCTCTGATTGAAGAGTGGGACAACATCCCCATAAGACAGATTAACGCTCTCATGAACTCTATGACCAGAAAAATAAGGGCCGTGACCATAACAAACGGCGGACACACAAAATATTGATGACTCAGTTCAATTTCAATTTCAAAATCCTATGGGTCCATTCAATTTAATCGTTAGTACCTCTAAACCAATTGTCAGATGCAAAATACAGACTTTGGAAATTTAAGCTTTAATTTATCTGTAAGTATACAAAATTCCGTTTTAAATGAAGCCCGATATCATATTAAATTTCTGGTTTAAAGTTCACCCAGCGTTTCTTTATCCTTTTAGTATAGATCAATAAAGTTAACAAATAATGCATGTGCAATTATCTCTATGATATGAAAAGATTTCGCTACTTTCCTTCCATGTGCGCAGATATCGGTATAACTGCTGTTGAAAAAAAAATAGAATACTATATGAAACTAACAACATATCTATTTTTTCATCTATAAAAAAACAAGCAAACCAACATTTATGGTGCTTTTTCTACAATCTTAGTTGGCAAAGAGACTCTTTGTAGAGCTGAGGTTGAGGACATGCATAGAGCTCAGTTACCAGAAGAGATAGGGTTTTAAGCCATCCTTGTCATCAAACAATCATTTTCCTGTTTCTAGGTGTTGTTTTGGGTCGTTTATTGTGTTTTTTTGATGTAGTTTAAGGTTTAAGGTCATGTGTCATTTTTATCAATATATGTATGTACAAGATTTTTTTTTTTTTTTTTTGCAAGTGATAAAAAAAGCAGGACTTTTGTAAACTGAATTCATTTCTTAGATTTTTAATTTATTTTTTAAAGTTTTGATACATAGATGAAAAGTGGAAAAAAAACTAAATCACCAGGGATACACTCCCATATAACGGGCAATCATTATTATATATGATATACAGTTGCTAGTTAAAAGTATATATGGATATATATAGTGGTATGTCTAGTAGATTGCTATACTCTATGCTATGTGTTATCAGGGACGTATAATCTGTATTATACGTCCCTGGTGTTATATATGTATCTGCTATACCTCATTACTTAACGGGCAATTAAAGAAGTGGCGTATTCCTTAACAGAAAATATTCGATCGTATTACCATTTATCGAGTTCCTTAAGTTGTTTAGCTTTATCGGCTTTCATGTTTTTCGACTTGGCAACTAAAACTTTGTTGTATAAGCCATAAACAGTTTCCCATGTTTGGGACGTTGGATTATCAGTAAAGTTTTCCATGTTGGCGCCAATACTTCTTTCGGAATTCCTTTCTTTTACTCGTAGCCTCTTGTAATTTTACATTGGGTCGCAGCACGCAACATGCACCACCTACAGGCAGAATATTTAACGACGGGTGACAATCCATTTCCGGTTTCCGCCATCTTTTATTCAGTCACGTTGCCGGCAGAATGGCATTTTTTCATCCGCCTCAGATTCAAGATAATCCTACAGGATGGGGACCATGTGCTATTCCAGATCAATTCAAGGATATGCCGTATCAGCCCTTTGCCAAAGGAGATCGGTTAGGAAAGGTGTGGTCCAAGTTACCAGTCGTAGCAATTAATAGTATAATGCCATATGTCAGTTACCCTCACGTCATATGTTGTACTGATTACCGGTCGAGAAGCCTTGCCTAGATTACCAACGTATCTGATATTTGGACCAAAACCGAGTTCCATGCTATTTTTCGTTTAATGTATAGAACATATCCACAGTTATGATGAGTGGAAGGGAGGGAAGGGTGATCCGCATTCTGAGGAACAAAGTCTGCCATGTTACTTTATACTCACTCGTCAATTAAATAAAATTCCAGGTCCAGACATGATTTTCGGGATGAAAATGAAATTTCACTTTTGACGTAGTGAATGACATACTAATTGCCTGTAATTGTGGTAGGCAATGATTATAGCCATAACAACAAATATGTACACTATGATGTCCTATACTCGAGGGCACTTGCTTGTGTCATATACTATATAGATAGTAAAGAAAGTATGAAAATGGTCGGGAAGGTAATTGATTGTGGCACTAATTCATAAGCAGTCATCATGTTCATAAGAACTGTCTTGAATTATTCAATACAGATTGAAATGAAACATTAGTACTGACGGATCCACTCCATCTCCTCCCCCACCCCTCCTACCAACACCTGTCACCACCAATTCTCATGTCACCAGAACACTTGTGGTTGTGGATTTCATTGGTGAGACAAAGCCAAAAGCTAGCAACAGGAAGAGCGCCGAGATGGAAAACCTGTTAAAAAGCAACCAACTCACTGTTGTGTTCATTATAAGCTGAGCACTTATGTTGTATCATTAGATTCATTCAGTATATGTGGTATTGATTGATTCAATCTGTATATGTGTGAGAAAGGAGAGGTGTTAATTGCACATATCTTGGTCAATTGGTCAGTCCTATAGATACTTTGAATAATAACTTACATGTACCTAATCCAGACTTACTATATACAACCTGGTGTTGTCATTTTCATGACACATACAAAGAGCAGGCCAAAATGAAACTACACATACAATGCAGACATGAGAGCAACACATGTGATAGTTATATTCCTCAATGCGTACATATCCAAATATCCACAAATTTAGCAGGGTACGACGACTATATAAACGAAAAGACTAGTTTGATTCTTCAATGTACATCAAACAAGGTCATATAACAGGCCATTGTGAACAGACCTTTCTATCAGTTTGTTGTATACATGTTAAAATACAATGTTTTGGCACAATTTTTGTTTGAATGCTGGTCCAGGTGTGGAAGACTTATTTACCTCATTTTGAATAAGCTTGAGTTCTGATGCTCATTGACTCTAAACAGATATATGAAAGTCAAAATTTTATTGATGATTTGCTTTTATTCTTATTGATTAATATAACCAGCTTTTTCTAACATTTTTTGTTTCAGGTCTCTGATTGGACTGGGGCAACTTACCAAGACAAGAGATATCTTGGTTTGTGAATTATTATTTCTCTTCTCTCTTTTTTTTTTTTTTTTTTGACTCATGACATACAAATCATCTAGATGAAGTTTTCAAGATTGTATATTTAAAGGCATCAAATGATATGGAAGAATTTAATAAAGTTAAACATTTTCATTTGACATGTTCTGTATGCTCAGTAGCCTATTTAACTTGATTTGCATTCTTACTCTGAAAAGTAATTCTCTATGATTTACCAGTATATGCGTACAGTATTTATTTATGTTTTGTCACATTTCATGAAACCATGACTGTTATTAAAGTATATTAAGGTATGATTGTAAATAACATAATTTAAACAGATTGTAAGACACCTGTGTACAATGAATGTATTAATAATTTTACTTAAGCTTAAATGTTTTACTTGCAATGGTTGTTATGATAGTCATGACTGCAAGTTTACAATTCAGTCTGAATTGTTGTAAATTTATTATATTGGTTACCAGGATACAGCTGTTGATCTGTAGACTGGCAGTTCATCTCATTACACATACTGATATTCTTACATGTTTAGTCAAGATATGTACCAATAAATTATTTTTAAAGAAAGTCAAAGATTTGGATGAATTATTTGTTACAGGTAAATACTCATCTGCATTTGGAGGAGGAGGCAGTCAGTATGCCTACTACCATGACGAAGATGAGAATAGCTTCCAACTTGTGGATACACAGCGAGTACAGAAGCCAGTATACCAGCGTGGCAGAAGAGTCTTTCAACAAGTTAGTTTACTCATTTAACCAATAAATTATGTATAGATGAATTCCTCATGAGAGATGACTTTCCCAATGCAGGTGATATGAATTTAGTACTGAATAATTGCACCCCCAAGGGTTGAATAATTGCAAGGAAGATTACTAGTTTCTCATTGAAAAAGATAGACAATGGTTTTGCGTTGTCTGGCCATTCATCTGTCCTTCCACAATCTTGTGGGAGCCGGAACTTAATACTTGGACCATAAGTTAACTTTAATGAGGCAGTATGTCATATATCAAAAGTAGATCGCTCTGACCTTCATTTTGACCTTTGACCTACATCATAGAAAACGTTTTTGTGAGGTCAACTCCTATACAACTTGACACAGTTACTTCATATTTGAGTTATGGGTTCACCTTGGCGAGATAGTGTTTACTGTATCATAAGTAGGTTCTTCTGAACTACATTTTGACCTTTAACCTCCATTAAAAAAAGTTAGGGCTCTTTCATCTACACTTTTTGTCACTGAAACTTTTAACTTATGTTATGGGTTCACATTCAGTGCATTCTTGGTTTATGACTTAAAGTTGTGTGAGCTGAACTATCATGTTATTCTAAACTCTAGGATCACCACAGTTTCAGATTTGACTAAGAAGGAAAATGTACCCATTAGGATAAAGTCCAGCATATAATACAACTGCTTAGTTCATTGTTCTACTCATTCATAAGCACAAACTGTTGACATGCATGAAGGTCTTTTATTAGGTCACTCTAGACAAAGTCTCATAGTGACCTATTGCGATCACCTCCTGCGTCGTGAGTCCGTAAACAATTTAACACTTTCGACTTCTCAAAAATCCCTGATCCGATTTCGATGAAATTTTACAGAAACCATCTCAGACTTAAGATGAACCAAAATTGTGAATTATACAGTCCCCACTCCACAGGGGCTGATGGGCGGGGCAAAAAGGAGTCAAATTGACTCAGATTTCAAAAATCTCCTCAACAACCAGATAAGGTAGAATCAAATGCTCTTCATGGATGGCACATCTTAAGGCACTTTAATTACCAAATTGGGTCTCGCATTTCTTTACATAACGCTTGAAAGCTACTTACCCTTTAACCTTTATAATCAATATTGCTTATCTCAGGTGACATTCAAGGCCTCTTGTATCTGTTTCACATTCTTATGTGGCTGTAATAGCTAAGTTTGTAGAGCCTTGACTTTCATAACGTCAGTTGAAGATCCAAGAATTGTGGTTTGACACTCCTTACCCTTAGCAGTTTTGCTTTTCTTGGGAAGCAAAGAAACAAATTAGTCTTTGCTGTCATTGTGTCCTGGGACAAGACACTTTACCCTAATTACTCTGAATGTGTGTGTGATTGGTCTCCTGTATGTTACTTGGGAAGCCATCAGCAATTAAAACAAGAATCAGACTTATAATTAACCTGACTGTTCACAAAGCCAGTGGTCCAGCCCTTACATTCTTATCCAAAAAAATCAACATAGTTGTACTAATTCTTGCTACAGAACAAGCAAAGGAGAGAGCGTGAGCGCCGAGCACAGCAGCAGGCCCAGGCTAACCTCCAGGTGCTCTCCAAGACACAGAAGAGCAGAGAGAGGTAAGTTTTCTGTCATTCCTGGTCCATTGGATTGTATTCCACTCAAATTTAAGTCTGTTCCAAACATTCTAGGTGATACATTTTCAGTTCAATTTTCATGTCATTGCTGATTTATCTCTACTTCTAAACATTTTCCTTTTTTTTTTTAGTATATTTCCTTTGTATTTATAAATGATGAATAATTTTGAAAATTTGCTATGGTATATTAAAATCTTACAGATTTGTAAACATCTTTAAGCGATAACTTCAAACCAACTGAATTGAATGTAATTTTCCTTCATTTAGGGATAGACAGAGGCTGTTGAGGAAGTGGCAGAAACAGTTTGGGAAACAGATGCAAGAAAATCGTAACAAGGTAAATCTGATGCTTGCCAAAGTTCATCAAAGTACTGTAACAAGGCATGGAAAATTTCTTGTGAAGTACTAGATACAATATGCATCATTTTTCAGAAAGGACTGCTTTAAGGTTTTGCTACCAAAACAGAGTTTTGTGTTGATATTCAAAATGCATGAAACTTTGTTTTGAATCTGTTGTGAAAGAAATGCTATTTGCACTTCATTTGGAAAGCTGGATCTAGTTTCCATTCTTTGAATGTGTGATCTGTTTACGGAGAAATGAATTCTCAGGATTTATCTTGAAAATCTGTATCAGCCATTTTTGTCGTTCATCAAATAAATCTTATGACAATGGTGTTCGTTGTGTTCTGTTTAACTTCTCCTGTGTGGTTGTTTTCAGTACCTATCACAACATGTATAACAATGTGTTAACTTGGCAGCGAAGCTTGATACAAAACATGTTCCTTTTCTTTCAGGCCCCTTTGAAGCATCGTGATGCATCTGTACAAGTGAAAGAAGACTGGGAGGTGATAGAAGACATGGACTTCCCTCGCCTCACCAAATTAAGTTTGCCTGGTATAGAGGTTGGCGAGGATCTGTAAGTCAATAAATAGTCTTGCACTTATTAGAATTAAAGATGTTGCAAAATGAAGGCAGATTAGGTAAATCTGAATGACATTTGTTGTAATTATGTCAAAATTTAAATTAGAAAGTCTACTTAACTTATTAAACACCCTCATTGGCTTTAGTAAGGCAAGAATAGTTATGAATAGGTATAAATATTCATAGTGATTAGTCCTATAAAAGAATAGAGAAGTAGTATTATGAAACATCAGATTCTCGGAACCGTTTTAAAGTATTGCATGAGGCAAAACTGATAATGAATGATTTCAACTCTTTAGCTCCTATCCTACACAATTGTTTTAATTGGTTAGAAATTAATGAAACTTATTGTAGATATTTTTGTCATCAGCATTGATGAAAGTCTGAAAAATTCCTTCGAAGAAAATTTCCAAGTGAGCATTATTTTCAAGAGATGAAAATGCATACCTACTGAAAATGTTTTAAATCTTAGTATTCGTTGCTAACAATGCAAGTTAATAAGAATTCATTTTGAAATAAAAAAAGTTTCCATTTCCCAAATGCTTCGGAGATGCCCCCTATGATAGTATCTTCCGGTCTGCATATTTAAGGAAGTGATTGACATTTTAGTCCAAGCCTTCTTGGAAATGGGTACTGGTATCCCAGGCTCTGTATTGTATGTTTGTCATAGATACATGTTCAACCTACATTTCCAGGTTCTTTATTCACTCAGAATAAAAAATGGAAGCGAGTAATTATTTTTATGCAATGTACCTATTGGTCACGTTGCGCTGTCATTGAAACAATCCTTTTGTACCCTGGGATGCCCGTACACGTTTCCAAGCTAGGCTTGGGCAAAGATGTCTGCCACTTCCATAGATACAATGACCGGAAGATATCATAAGCTTAAGGGGGAGGTCTCAACCGAAATTTGAAAAAGCATGGAAATATTTCAACTTGCATTGTCAGCTTTAAACATAACTTATGATTGTTCAATCTGTTTTGTTTGTAAGGTTGAAATGTGGAAGCATGGAGTACTATGACAAGACGTATGACCGTGTTACCACTAAAAATGAGAAAAGGTTGAAGCGTATTGACCGAATCTTCCACAAAGTGACAACTACTGATGATCCTAACATAAGACAGGTAAAAATGTAAAAATTGTTAAAAAAAATAAATGCTTTAAGTACAGGTAGTGAAACACTTCACAGATTTGAAAATAAAAATATGGGCCTTTGGTGAAAGCTTAACGTGAGTTGTTTTATTAATTGTATTTGAACAAAGTTGTAAATTTCTGTATTTTCAGCTTGCCAAGACCACCGGCAATGTGTTTGCAACAGACGCAATATTAGCAACACTCATGTGTTGTACCAGATCCACTTACTCCTGGGACATCATAGTTCAACGTGTTGGCAACAAGTTGTTCTTTGACAAGCGTGATGACTCTGAGTTTGACCTGCTGTCAGTGAGTGAGACGGCAACTGAGCCTCCACAGGATGAGGGCAACAGTATCAACTCACCTCGTAACCTTGCTCTTGAGGCCACTTTCATCAACCACAATTTCTCTCAACAAGTTCTTCGTATGGTAGGTGGATTTAGCATGTATAAAGGGTGTAATGGGAGGAAGTTGAAACATTAACAAAATATGAATATTTGAGGTGTAATTTAACAAAGTTTTTTGAGTTTCTGTCCCCAAGATAAAAAAAATACAGGCATATGTAATGCTATATCCTCATACCATTGATTCTACTCCAAAGACTGAAAGGGTACACTGTTTAGAGTGACATTTTTCTGAAATTGCATCAACTGAATTTGCAAATGAAATAATTGTATTGGTTTTGGAGTTGATATTTGTCAAAACAGTATTTAGTTGATGTCTAAGGCCTGACCTGATAAATGAATGACCACACTTTTTCGACAATAACTAAATACTGTATTCAATGATATCGTGCCAAAGCGAAATACGATGGAAGGATCAGCCTAAAAAGTACAGCAATTATAAGTTAGAAGTAAATATTATGTGCAAACGAGAAAAATGTACTCATACTAGTCACTAATTAGAGCACAACGAAGAATGGGGTAAATGATACCGAGCATCTTTCACAGTGATAAATAAGAATAGTTTTTGAAATTTTCGGGTTTATTTTTAACTGAATTAGGGGTTTTTAAAAAAATTCAAAGATGCAATGATTCATCAAAGTGATCCATTTGCACATGTGAAGATATGAAGTCTCTTTGCATGATTGATGGTATTTGCTCGATTCTGTCAGAGGACACCCCTTTACAGTTGCTGCCAAAGTGACAGTCAAAGAAAGTTTGTCTGTTGCACAATTGGGAACACAGAGTTCAGTAAAAATATGATTCTATTCCACAAATTGAATGCTTTAAGCATTTTCAACAGGCTTGGTTTGAAAACATACTGTTAGAGACTGGGCTTAGTTCTACCACAGTGATGAATTTCATTAGATATCATGACATGTGGCATGGATTGTGTAGATAGCCAGCCTTTCATGATTTCCCAACATGGACTGTTAGTGGTCAGATAGAGCTGTATACTGGTCACAGAATACTGATAACAAACAATGAAAATCTTCTAACTGGTGTTCCTATTTGTATCCATCAATATCATCTTTTTTAGCAGATGTGGACTTGATGTTTTTTTATTGTAGGAAGTTGTAATTAAAACACATCTATTTCACTGAGCTTATACTTCTATCTAGGTCAACTTATTTCTATATCGAGGTAATTTGTGCAAATTGTACTGTTTTTTGTTTATTTCATTCCTTCTTTTTATGTCTGGAATGGCTAGTGACAGTGTTCATTGTAAAGCACCCATACATTTGTATACCCATATTACACTAGCATTAACCATCAACAACACCTTATCATAACATAAATAGAGATTTGGATGTTCTTAATAACACCCCTAATACCTTAAGATAATTTGCTATTACTTTGGACATAGTAAATTGCAAGTAGAATTTAATGACCTTTCATGTGTTGACTGCCGTTAAGATTGTAATTTTCCAATTTAACTGGTACCTTAGTTAGGTATTGAAAAAAAACCCAATATGTTATGTTACATAATGATAATTAGATTCACATGAAACATAGAAATCAACCAACAGATATGAAAATAAATGATCCTGAATTATGTAATTGCCTAATAACTATCTAAAATTATGTCTAGGTTTTTCATTTCAGTCTAATTGGAAATTACATCAGACATTGTATCAAAACTCGATATCACCAACCAACATTTGATTTTGATAAACATGCATGTGGTTAACAGGTCTTATACTATTTATTTATTTCTGATCTAAGGAGAGGGAGAGCTGGTAAATGTTGATAATAATGTGATATTTGACAGGGAGAGGAAAAGTATTCCTTCAAAGACAACAATCCTTTCGTCCATGGAGAAGATGATGCAAATGTAGCCTCAGTTGGATACAGGTAACAGAAAATTTAATTTGTGTTCAAGAATAAACATATAAACAAATGGGCACACACTTTTTCATGGGAGAACATAGCTCTTGAAAATTTTCTAATAAATCTTTATACTGTTGTGGTCCATGCTTTTGTTTGTGGCATAATCAACTGAACAGTTCTACAACAATGGACACAATTTTTAGTATAATTTTCAAAGAACCCAGTGCTCCAGATAACTTTTTGACATGTGGGGTTTTCACTCCTACCTTTATAAATTGAGGGTTTTTTCACCCCTGCCTTCATCAAGTGTATGGGTTTTTCCATATTAGGGTAACACTGAATTTGTAAACATTTTTGACAGCGCCATATTTGCTATGTGACTGGTTTATAATCACGATCAAGAAACGCTTGTTACGAGTTTCGTTTACTTGATAAGTGTCTGTTTGACTTAGATTATTGAGTTTTCTAACTACGTAATATTGGAGCCGGACATTGACGCAGAGTCCGGATTTCGCACGGGTTAATGACGCAAATCTTATTTTTTTCCTAGCATGAAATTAGAAATATTGTGCGTGAAAACGCATTCACGCATGCTATCTGGAGCACTGGAACCTGTAAACCCCCAAATGAATTAATGGAAATTGATAAGAAGGAAAATATGTTATTGATGTTGTACAAAATGAAGCCTGAAGTAATTGGTGGTCTGGTTCTTCACATTTTCTAATCATCCTTTGGTGTGTGTAAATATAGAGTGAGATCCTAGAGCCCGAATCCAGAGAACATAGGATTATATTAAATTGTTTTGGTTTTCCTCAGCTGTTTCACATCATAGTTATTGACAGAAAAAGGAAGAGATGGGGAACTAACAAGGGAATGAGAAGATGATGTAAAAATGTTGTTTTAATGTTTATTCATTCAATAAAATTGCAATCTTGATAAATTGTCTCCCTTTAATAAGTTGGTTTCTGTTAACAACTTTTTTTTATTTATTTACTCAAACAGGTACCGTAAGTTCAGCCTGGGAAATGACATCGAGTTGGTGGCACGTTGTGAGCATGATGCTGTAATGATGGGTCCAAGTGGAGATCTGCAATACATCAATATCAAAAGTTTAAACGAATGGGATTCAAGGGTAAGAGTTTACAGTTTGAAATATTCATGGATGAAAAATTCTGATGGTGCTTTGTCAAAATAAGGATTTTCAACTTAGTGTCGAATCACACATTCCCTTCTGTACTTTTGCAGTTATTTGGAATTTGAAGGAAATTCTTTTACCTTTGCTGATTTTTTCATATATAATCATTCAAATGAAAAAAAAAATAAAACATTTATCTTACTCTATAGTTGTAACCCCAGGATTTTAAGAGAAATGACTTTACTAAGAGTTAGTAATAAAGGAAAAGGTATAAAATAAAGATAGCAGTTGTCTATATTTGGGATTCTTTTGGTTGATCTGTGACTTGAATAACTCTGTTGAATTTGATGACATCATACATATGTATTATTATGACTTGCCTGGTGTTGTAGTTCAGTGGTGGTGTTGACTGGAGGAGTCGACTAGACACTCAGCGAGGAGCTGTTCTTGCTACAGAACTGAAAAACAATAGTTGCAAACTCGCCAAGTGGACTGTATGTGCCCTTTTAGCAGGATCTGACCAGCTTAAATTTGGGTAAGTGCATATAATTTGATACAGCTGAGGCCAAGATACAATAAATATTTGCAAGAACCTAACCCACAGAGGAGAAAAAACTTAATGCATTGTTTAATATAAAAAGCTTTGAATACTAAATTTAAAGTTCTGAATTGCTAAAAAGTTGAATCCATCTTCCATGATGTTGTTAAGCTTCTACTTTAACCAAAATTGATCAATGTCAAAGTATTATCAAATTATGACATACATGTATATAAAAAGAGAAGAGATGCTGTGTATACACAAAAATAGCATTCAATCTAAAAATCAATGAAAGAATGGCTAAAACTGAAATCAGTTTACAAGAATACTCTTGAAAACGACAAAGTTTATAGTCTTATGCTTCATCAACAACACCTACCATGTAGATCACGTCTGTCACATTATCAAATGATATCAATGTATTCTCAAAACAAGCAACAAGTTCGCTTCCAAACATAAAAAAGTGAATTTTCTCGGTGCATAATGAAATAAAATGTATCCTAATAGGATTATTTACAGCAATTTTATATTAACCCATTGTCTCAATCAACCTAAATCTCTTGAAATGTCTTGTTTTATTTTGTCCTTTAGCAGTTCACAGGCACCAGTTTCAATATGAAGTGTCTTATGATATTGTATTGTGTATTATCTACATGTTTTGATTTACTGTTTTATAACAAATACTACTGGGTTGTAGATATGTATCCCGTCTACACCATCGAGACACCGCCAAACATGTGATTCTAGGAACACAGCAGTTTAAGCCTACTGAGTTTGCTAACCAGATAAACTTGAATATGGAGAATGCATGGGGTATACTCCGATGTATCATAGACACCTGTCGCAAACTTAAAGATGGAAAATATCTTATCATGAAGGATCCTAACAAGGTAAATCAAGACACACAATATAAAAACCTTTCAATACTAATTAGGTATTGAATAAAATATATATCAAACTGCATCATGCAGCTATTTTACCCTTTGTAATGCTAGGTGCTTTAATTCTGGAAATCTGAAAGGTGAGTTTGGAAATCAATATCAGCTGAAACAAATGTTTAGCTACAGATGGAAAGTTTTGTTAACTTTCAATATTGGGATATTTAATGTATTTTGATAAAAAAATCATTAATAACTCATTGACAATGTTGGTATGTACTGATAACAGAATGGAATATATAGAAATCTGAATGTCTTCAGTCTCTTTAACTTGTCAGTTATTGGAAAACGTTTTTGATGTCATACACAAACGGAGGAAGATTTCAGCAGAATACTGTCTGAAAGTACTTCAGTTTAACTAATTTTATTTAATGGTTAAGTGACAAGGATGGAAATTCTGTTTGCAGCCTGTCATAAGGATTTACAACATCCCAGATAGTACCTTTGAATCTGATGAGGATGATGATGATGATGACGATGATGATGATGATGACGATGATGACGACGATGAAGATGATGAGGATGATGACGATGAGGATGAGGAAGATGAAAAGAAAGATGATAAAAGTAATACACATCTCTAAGAGATTTGGAGTAAAAATCGGAGCAAAACACATTTGCATTGCATTGTTTATTAAGATCAATTGCTGTGCTTTCCAAATAATTCATTTGATTCTAATTTTAGCATTTAGAAATCATAAGAATGCAAAAAATACTTCTTTTTTAAGTTTGCATGACACGTTCCAACACCTTAATTTATCTTTACTTTCTCCTTTACAATAGGTGGAAAGAAGTCTACCAAAGACGTTTAGAGAAGGGATCTAAACTATTGGTTAGTTTGTGAACATACAACCAATCCAATCAATCCAGTGAGTTGAACAGCTCTACTGAAGTGAAAGTGCTAACTGTTATCTGCATTACCAGAAGTATCTTGTGTGATTTCATCCTAAAAAATTGTGATACACCAAAGTGTATCTTGTAAACTTCACAAACACTTTGAACATTATTTCTTTTTATAATTGGACCCACTACCAGCTTAAAATAAATTTATTGTGTAAAAGATGAACATGTTTTTTTTATTTATTAATGGAATTTAGTGACAAAGGAAAGGATATATTTGCGAAGTATGGGTATTCAATATTTAAGTTGGGATCCATACTTCTGTCGAAATTATATCATGCGAAAGAATTTTGGGATGTTATGATGATATCAATCAGTGCTTTTGTCGTATCTTTATATGTAACTGACATTATGTATACAAGGTATCATGTTCAATAACTATGTTATATGAGCTTTTTCAAAATATGTATTTAAGGAATGGAGGTAGGGTCATGGTAGAGCATCCTTTGTTCTGGATATGCTGGTCATCAATTTGACAAGCTGTATTATGGTGTGATGTGTCATAAACTGGTTCATCTAGAGGTCTTGTTTATTTAAATCTTTGAAACCTTGTAGGCTATTATCATCATAATCTGAAGTTGTATTTTCCTAAATGGTTTCCCTTTGTCCCTCATTGCACAATGTTTATTTTGGGGACAGACCTAAAAATAAAATTGGTTTTGATTTTGACAGTTATAGTTTATTATCATTTACTGGATTCTCAGATTCCATGTGTAGGTTCCACTTGATCTCATATTAATTATGCTTTGTACATTTTGAGTGAATTGGAAAATCAAAATGGCTGACAATTCGGCCATCTTTGATTTTAATACTGTTTAGACTTCCATCGTCAGGTTTTGGTTTATTCTAATCACCCTTTGTCTGTGGTCTGTTGTCCTTGTGTCAGTAAACAATTTTTGTTAATGTTATATCTTGTGAAGTACTGGATGAATCTTTTTCAAATTTCATATGAAAGTTCCCCTTGGTCCCTAGTTGTGCCCTTGGAATTTTGGATGTGATCAGAAAAACAAAATGGCCGACAGGCAAAGGAATGTTCAAATTTCTTATCGTTAAAAGCAAAAACAGAAAAAAAGGGAAAAATTCAACGATCAAAGAGCAAATAAAGATCAATCAGTAGTGGGCGCGAAGATCCCTCTGGGATCTCGTTCAAAATCCTCATCCTCCTGTAGAAGTGAAAGAATGTTGCCCAAATCGAATCTGAAGCATTCTTTAGGGAAAGAGTAAATCTTTGAAATCCAACTCCTCTTGTAGAATTGTTTTGTCTAGTTGTGTCTGAAGCATTCTTGGGTGAAGGAGAATGGATTTTGTATAAATGTTGGGTTTCGGCCACCTAGGATGGGACCCAGTAGGGGAAAATGAGCAAATTCTTTAAAACCCTTCACCTGTAGAACTGATCAAATTTTATCCTAATCAGGCATGAAACATCCTTAAGAAACTTAAAAGCAGCTATGTATAAATGATGAGTGTAAACTTCTCTGGATTGAAGGGACAAGACCTATTCGATAGGAAATGAAGCAAATGCTTACAAGTTCTGCCGATAGAATTTGGGTGAAGTTATGTCCGCCGAAGAAAGCCAGATGAACAATACAGGCCCTATGAGCCTCTTGTTGGAGATAGTGTTATTTGCGTGGCATTGCTATGATAGAAATCTAACAGAAAAGGAGTGATATGGTTAAGGTTCTTTAAATGGAATTCAACGTGTTACTACGTCATTATTGTCGCCATGGAAACGGAGAAGGTTAGTCGTTAAATTGAAAAATTTTAATTATAAATACGCGATTTTACAAGCAAACATACCATATTGTTCTGGGGTTAGGGTAACATAATGCTTGCCTGCAAAGCTTTGCCATATATACTGACTATGACTGCCATATCACGAATGCTGAGTTGAGGAACAAAGAAAACGAGATAATTCCTCGGCATTTCATCCATTTAAGACTGAGAGTCATACATAGCACAGAAAGTTATTAACAAATATTCTGAAGAAATTACTTGTTTCTATTTGGATAGTTGACAAAAAATGTAAGTGTGATTGGGTTGTACCTTTATGTGTATTTACATTAAATAAGAAGGTATGTGATGGTTGTTACAGTTCCAGCGATGTACTTTGATAATTAAGTTATGGGACAGTTTACTTGTCGCGTTTTATAAAATTGCCTTTTTTATATGTGAAATATACAAAAAGCTTGTTGAATGTACTCTCGGTTTTCTTGGCACCTGACTATGATGTAAATCAATCCATATATAAACCCAGTCGTAGACATATTACGGTCCATATATGGTTACTACGACAAATATTACTGAATAGGATGATCGTTGACGGTTTAAAGTAGTGAAATGTGACGCGGGTATCTGTAAATCATACAGACTCCACAACAACACCGCCATTGTTTACTCCTACTGCGTGTTTCTTCCTTCTCATCTTTTATAAAACTTACAGTCTGAGTTCAGATGTCACATTCGATGGACTAAACGTTGAGCCGGTGTTGTTGATATCAAAGCATGGTACTCCCAACAAACAGGTTCTGGTTCAGGCATGGAGTACTGGCAACCCAAATATAGCTTTTATTTAAAAAAAAAAACAAACAAAAAACAAAAAGAAAACATGTATAAATCATAATTGTCCAAGTAGGGAATTAAATCTGTCAACTTCGAGTTATGGTTAGATATTTTAACATGTTTTTATAAAGAACTAACAAACTTCAGCGCAAATAAACAAGTTACACCCCAGATGATACTGTCTTTAACTGCTGACATCTTTATCCTATCAACAATCAACTCTCTGCATTAAGTGAAAAGCTTGTGTACTTTTTAGTCTGTATGAACTTGTAATTCTACCGATATTATGATAAATTTGCAGGAAGTCACAGTTGATTTATAAATGTTTTGAGTGCAATATCATCTTTCTAACGCCCCACTCAGTTCACATTAATGTCAATACCATGCCAAGTTCTTTAACCCATTTCCAAAGGAAAATAATTAACGGGTTGCATTTTATATTAATGTTGTAAATCAAGATTTGTAAAAAAGATTAAAAACATGAATATTAATCTGCATGCCATTCGGCAAGATAAGATCATTTTTCATCATATTTCACATGTCCGCAGTTACTGCGGTCAAACATGATATTGCAGCAAAGTTTCTGGGTTATTTGATTTGCCATATCTACCGCTGAGAAACAACCAATGATAAGTATGTGTACAAGCCAATGTTCTGATACCAGCTGGCCAAGTTAAGAGTATAGTAAGTCAACAAAATGAGATACGTATTTTTCATGAATTACCTATCTTGTGTATGAAACACAAATTGGTTAATTTAGAGCTTTTTTTGACAAAGTTGTCAACATTTGAGTTAATATTAAAAGACAATAAATAACTAAAAACAAACAAACTTGTTTTACCGAACTTTTTGATATCTTTTTTGCAACATACGGCTTAAGATACCGATAGCACCTGGCTAGTTTATACATTAACTAGTTATAAAACATTAATTAGTTAGCGATAACACTGTAGCTGACCTGTATACATATACTATGTGGGAATTTCTGAACACTCAGATAAGATAAGACTTGTCCATTGATATACAAATAAGTTAACATCCAGACGGTACCTGTCTTTCTATAGAAACATACACAAATAAGTTAACATTCAGACGGTACATGTCTTTTTATAGAAACATACACAAATAAGTTAATATTCAGACAGTACCTGTCATTTATAGAAATACACAAATAAGTTAACATTCAGACAGTACATGTCTTTCTATAAAAACATACACAAATAAGTTAACATTCCGACAGTACCTGTCATTTATAGAAATACACAAATAAGTTAACATTCAGAACGATCAGTCAGTTCATGTTCTGAAAAATATACCTATTTGTTTAACTCGCGGACTGCAATTTTTTTACATAAATTTACCAAGTAGCTAACACTCAGTATCTATTCTGTATATAAATATACCAAGGAGTTAAAATTCAGATATCAGTTTTGTACATAAATATATCAAAATGTTAATATTTCAATAAAACCTGCTAGGTATATAAATGTACCAATTGGTAAATATTCAAACAATGCCTATTCTGTATATGAATGTACCAATAAGTTAACATTTACATAACAATTGTTTTTATATATAGATATATACCAATTACTTAACATTTACATAACGTCTGCTTTTTATATAAAAATGTACAAATTAGTTAACATTTACATAACACCTGCTTTTTTATATAAATATGTACCAATTAGTTAACATTTACATAACACCTGCTTTTATATAAATATGTACCAATTAGTTAACATTTACATAACACCTGTTTTTTTCTATAAATATGTACCAATTAGTTAACATTTACATAACACCTGCTTTTTATATAAATATGTACCAATTAGTTAACATTTACATAACACCTGTTTTTCTCTATAAATATGTACAAATTAGTTAACATGTACATAACACCTGCTTTTTTATATAAATATGTACCAATTAGTTAACATTTACATAACACCTGTTTTTTTCTATAAATATGTACCAATTAGTTAACATTTACATAACACCTTCTTTTTATATAAATATGTACCAATTAGTTAACATTTACATAACACCTGCTTTTTGTTATATAAATATGTACCAATTAGTTAACATTTACATAACACCTGCTTTTTATATATATATGTACCAATTAGTTAACATTTACATAACACCTGCTTTTTATATAAATATGTACCAATTAGTTAACATTTACATAACACCTGCTTTTTGTTATATAAATATGTACCAATTAGTTAACATTTACATAACACCTGCTTTTTATATAAATGTATACCAATTAGTTTACATTTAACTAACACCTGTGTTTTTTTTTTTTTTTATATATATATAAATATGTACAAGTTTGTTAACATTCAGATAATACCTGTTCAGTATATAAATGATTATGTAACAATAAGTTAACATTCAGATAATACCTGTTCTGGATATAAATGTACCTGTTATTTAACACTCAGGCAATATATGTTCTGTACATAGTTTAGTTACTAACTGAGGTGCCGATTGTGTCATTGTTTATTTAACTTGAAGCCTTACGGCTCACAAGCATTCATATCAACATATCATTGATACTTAAGTAATATGAAATAAAATGACATTATATCATCATGTATA